TTTGGTCTTTAATTGGAGTTTGTATTCTGTTGGCTTTTTATTTTTTTACTATTTTTAGTTGCATTACCAATTCATTGTACTGTTCATTCCCTTTTTTGTTAATAAAAGTATTCAGAGAATGATTTTTTCCCTAGTTGCTACTTTGGCAGTACTCCAAAAATTTTGGTATGTTGTCTCATTGTTATCATTACTTTTTATGATGTTCTCTGTCATTTCTATGAGTTGTTCTTGAACACAGTAATTTTTAACATTTTTTTTAGTCTTTAGTAGATTTTTAATACTTTTTAGTGATGCTTTCTTTAATATAATTTTTATTATATTGATTAGTAAAGGATATTTTTAATATTTCTACATTTTGGCACTTGTGAGGTTTTTATGGCCTAAGTCATAATCAGTTTTTGAAAATATGTCATGCACAGCATACATACACACACAAATCTATTTATATATGAACATATATTTATAAACATACATATATATTCTCTTTTCTACTTCTGTTCCCTAATAATCATCAGGTGTCTATCATCCAATTTTTCTAAATTTCTATTCAGTTCCTTAATTTCTTTTTTCTTTTGTTAAATTTATCTAGACCTGATAGAAACAGATTGAGATTCGCTACTATTATCATTTTATTCTATTTCTCCTTATAATTTATTTAGTTTTTTTTTTCCATCAAGTATTTAGAAGCTGTGCCATTTGATTCATATGTCTTAAGCATTGAGAAGAGAGAGAAAACAGTATGGCATAGTGGATAGAGAGATGGCCTTAGAGTCCGGGCAATCTAGAAAAGTCTTTTCTCTGACACACATTGGGTGCTTGACTAATTAAGTCACTTAAACTCTTAGTATCTGAGGCAACTCCTGATCTGCATTAGTAGAGGGCATTTTTTTTTCCATCTGGAGTTTCTTCATTAAGAGTTAACATGAATTGAAAAAGAATACCAGTATAGTAACAGGCCATAGAAAAAAATATAGCAGGATTTTATGGAGACTAAATTGCAATTACACCTTGAATATTAACTTAACCTGTGAATAAAATGGAAGAAGGTTCAGATTAAATTAGAAAGCAAAATCCAATAATAAGTTGCTGCTTATAAGAAATGCATTGTAACATAAAGATCCATTTAGTTTCCCAATATGTAAAATGAGGATGATAATAGCTCCTACATCACAGGGTTGTTGTGAGGATAAAATGATGTAACACATGTATGATCCTTGGGGAGGAAGGTGAGGAAGACAGCTGTCTTCAGGTAATGGAAGGATTTTCACATTGAGGAATCAGACTTTTCTTCTTGGTGGAACTAAGAGCAAAGAGTAGAAGTTGCAGAAAAATGGATAGAATCTCTATATGGAAAAGCGTTCCTAACAGAACTGTCCAAAAGTAGAACGGATTGATTTAGGAAGTAATTAGGTCTCTATCACTGGAGCTCCTTAAATGAAAGCTGGGTTGTACTTTTCTGGGATGTCCATGTAGAGATTGTTGTACTGTATTCTTCTCTTGAGTATTGTGTTTTGTTCTAAGTGCCATATTTTAATAGAAGCCATTGCAGTTTATTCAGAAGAAGGGAATTAAGATGATGAGGAAACAGTCAAAAATTGCACATGAACCTAAGTTGAAGGACGTGTTCACCATGAATAAAAGAATTCTTGAGGGAGAGGAAGACCTGACAGCTATCTTCAAATTTTAGAAGTGTCTTGTATAGGAAAGATTAGACTGTTCTGTTTGACCCCAGAGGGAGGAATCAGGAGCAATAGTTGAAAGTTACATGAAGGAATAATTAACATTGATGTATGGTAAACTTCTTAACCATTAGAGCTATTCAAAAGTAAAATAAGCTGCCTCAAGAAATAGTTGGCATGTTCTTCCATCACTCCAAAAGTATTTGGGTGATGTCAGGATGACTAATTGGTGGTAATATAGAGGGAATTTTCAACTAGGGATGTTTTGTTATGACCTGTGAAACTCATTCTTCTCTGGAACATGTGATTTTATGAATATCTGGAAAGAAAAGAGCCAAGTATTTTGTTTATGTGGGATTAGGACTAGACCTGTTATTTCATTCATATAGAAGTTCTGAGGAGAGAAAACGCACTCTACCAAGGCAGTCTGGAACCTTTCTGCAACCTCTAGTCTTAGAAAGTTGCCTAGAATACTGAGAGGTTAAGTAACTTGTCCCGTTATCACATGGTCACCATGTGTAGGAGGCTAGACTTGGACTTTAGTTTTCCTTACTCTGCAACTACCTGTCTATTCACTAGTCTATGTTTTCTCTTACTTGGAAATATAAACATCTTTATTGTTTAGAGAAATTGGTTATGCATTAACAGCTGGTATACATTTTATTTAATTGATACTATGGAATGGAGAAAACATTTAGTACACCAATTTGGAGGAAGAATTTGAAAAATTATGAGATATTGCTAGATGTCGTGGCATACATTTGCAGCCCCTGGTATTGGGGCAGCTGAGCTGATAGATTGCTTGACCTCAAGAGTTCTGAGCTGCAGTAGGGCTAAACCTGATTGGGTGTCCATACTGAGTTCAATGTGATGGGCTTCCAGGATGGGGGTGGAGAGTAGGCATGTTTACTATGGAAGGGATGAACCATCCCCAGTTGGAGCTTGTCAAAGCTTCCAAAGCTTCCCATCATCAGTGGGATCATGCCTCATTAATGTTTTCTGCACTTCCAGTTAGGAAAAGTAGAAGACTAAGTCAGAAAGACAAAGTCTCAAAGAAAGAGTATGAGATATTGAACAAAAGAATTATATTTTAACTGTAAGTTCTAAGATAAGTTGTTCATGGTGTAACTGGAATCAGGGACTTGCTTCAAATCCTTGTTTCATCTTAGACTCTCTGAGCCTCAGTTTCCTCATGTACATAATGGGGCTAATAATAGTTACACAAACTGTCTCATAGGATTGTTGTGAGGAGACTGCTTCAAGTGTTACATAAATGTAAGTTATTATTAGACTTTTACCAGAGGGTAGAAGGGAAATGTAGCTGTTACTTGTCTTTCCTGTTTTTTACTCCCTAGAATTAGGATGCTTAGACTTTGATAGTTTTGTTAAACTTCAGAGGGGAAGTGTCTTCTATTTTTTCCCCCTTTAATCAGAGTTGTCTCTGGAATGGTGAATGAATGATTCCCTGTTTATCAGAACAATTCACATATTTTATCCAATAAAGTTAATGCTTATTTTCCCCTAAAGCAGTTTTCATCCCAAGGCATCTGTGCTGAAGAACTATATGAATATATTTCTTTTATTCTGTGATAGTACCGAGTGATATTAAAAGGATATACTGAGATAAAATTTCCTTTTCATCCTATAAACGCAGGAAAAATCAGAGTTCCAAAGTTCCAAGGTCATATCTCCTTTTAGTCTTAGTAGTATAGAATACAAGAACATTTTATAACTTTCAGAATTTAAGAGCTTTCAGTGTTTGGATATTTACAACTAAAACACCAAAATATTAAGCACTACCCCCTCTGAACACACACACACACACACACACACACACACACACACACACTTATTGGAATTTATCACTTAGCTCTGGTAAGAAGGACAAGAAACAAAAGCTAGTGCTATTAAGTTTTTTTTTTCTCTTGAATTACACAACTTAAAAAAAGTACATATAATCACAGATTTCCAACAAGCTTCTTTTTAAAATATTTTGTGGATTTTTTCACATTTGCTGTAATATTATCTGAAGTAATACAATATTAAAGGGAGTATTTTAAATTCACCTTAATTAAGCTACAAGAATTATGCTTTGCTTGATGTAATGAAGAAAGAGAATTTAAAATGAAGTAGCGTCATTGTGTTCATTTGTAAATAACATATTGCAGCCAACTGTTTCTTAATTACCCAGACTATTGATAAATAATCCAGTCCTGCTGCTCTCCACAGACAATTTGCTTTCGATCAGACCAGGCAATTCAAATAACACTAATTATAGTGAAACTCTTTTGTAGTGAATTCTTGTTTGCCATGGGGGAGTACCCCAGTATAAGAGTAAAAGCATTCCCCCTCTGATAGTTTCCTGACACCTAAGACACATACTCGACATTTAATTTGTTGAGTGAGCAGAAATTGAATGAATAAAAATGTATAAAGTTGTATATAGCATTGAAAAGGACATACACAAGACTTTAACTACTTATGTCTTACTTTTTATGATACAGTTGTGAATTATGTTAATTTAATACCTGTAATTAGAAGGTGGAACAGATGTTGAGACTTAGTTTAAAGATATATGGCCATTAGAAAAACTTATGTTACCAAATGAATATTCACAATGCGAATGATTTTTTTTTACACTAGTAGAAAGATCTGACTTTACTAGAAAGAAACTAGGACTTTCGGAAGTGTTCTATATCAGGGGATTCACTATAACATGATATCACTGTATTTATGATTTTATGGTGTTAAAATGAATATTAAATGAAACAAAATTCCCAAGGATTACTCAGGAGGCAGCTAAGTACATAACATTTTGTACAGATGGTTGGAAGGCACAATTTTGCTCCATCACTGCATCCGTATCCTTGAACGATTTCGACTGAAGACAGCATTTCTTTGAATTTTTCATTAAACCAGACGTCTTGAAATATGAATTCCTTTTATGTTTCTGTGAGTTTTGGCTAAAAGAACCCCAGTGAATAAATCATACAATACTACATGTCACCAGCACTTGTGAATATTTCTGCTTTGTTATTCTATTCTCAGTAGAGCACCATTGATTATCAAACTCAGCGGAGAGCATTTTATGATCATATATCTCCATTAGCTCCTAGTTTGACTACCATAGATTTTTCTGGTTAAGTCTGCATTATGTATTAGGAAGCCTATCTCTTCAATACAAAGTTTGATTTTATTCTTTCCAAACCTAGAACTCTTATTATGTATTATGTATAAAGATTCTTATCTTTTATATGTAAAAATAAGAGCACTGTCTTTGTGTAACTGAAATGTATGCCATCTTTTTTTCTTGATTCACAGACAGCATATTTGACTATGAAGATGAATTTCTACAATGAAATGGCTGTCAGGGTAAATATTTCTTCACTTGTTAAACAAATGAAAAGTCAATTGTGCTCTGAATTTGCTTTTAATAAAATGAGCGAACTAGAATAATATAAACTTGATTGATATGCTGATGGTAAGGAGAGGAAATATCATATAGTTAAAAAGTTAAAGTTATACTAAATAATCTGAGCATTGTTAAAATTTATGGCAAGATATAAATCATATAAATGCATGTTTTAATATGTTGTGTTTCTAAGACATAGTAAAAGAAATACCTAAATATGAGAAATAAAACTTCTTTTAATAGAAGAAATGGAAGGTCATATAGGTTCTAAATTCTACCAAATATATAAGTCCTCTTCAAAACATTCCTGACAACTATGATTCAGCTTGATTATTTCTAGTGGCAAAAACCACATAATTCCATGAAGTAACCTTTTTCAGACAGCTTTGATTGCTTGTTTGTTTCTTCTTACACTGGATCTAACCTACTGGCCTGTACCTTAGGTCACCCCCTTTCCCACATGATAACTCTTCACATATTTGAAAATAGTTCACTTTATCCATGTCTTTTATTCTCTGGGCTAAATATTCCCAGTTACTTCAACGATTCTGTATATGGCAGAATTTTAAGTCCTCTCGTTATCCTGGTCAGCCTCTACTGGTCATGCTACAATTGTTCAATGTACCTCATAAAATGTGGAGCACAGAAATGAATGCAATAATCCAGAAGTTATTAAACCAGGACCGATTTGTAGTGGGCCTACTTTTTCCTGGAACAACCACTAAAAATCTATTCTTATGATTCAGTATGGCACAGAGGTGACTTGATTTTTTTGAAGGCCATGCCAGTAGATTGCAAGCTCTGCTGGATCCTACCAAGCTAGAAAAACTGGGTATGGGTTCTACAGAGGGACTTCATGTATTTTGTCTGAGTAATAGCCTAAATTCAAGTAGTATCATTACAAGTTTGACTGCATGGTGTTGAAGTTTGACTACAGCAATTCATAAAGACCAACTTGAAAGCATTGAAGAGTTGTCCTCTGCTGTAGTGTATCCACACAGCTAAATACAAAGATCACAAGTATTCTTGGTCTGAAAATTAGGTTTTCTTTCACTATTAGATGAAACTTTTGGTCCACTGACTTGATACTACAGTTGTTTTTTTTTGTTTGTTTGTTTGTTTTTTTGGTGAGGCACTTGGGTAAAGTGACTTGCCCACAGTCACACAGCTAGTGAGTGTTATGTATCTGAGGCCAGATTTGAAATCAGGTCCTCCTGACTCCAGGGCTGGTGCTCTATACAAAATTTGTCATGAACTATCTAGCCAGGTCTCTTAAAAAAATTCTGATTTACCCTCTATAAGTTGGTTTGTACAATTGGTTTTTTGAAGCTAGGGTATAAAACTTCATTTACATTTATCCCTATGGTGTTCTATCTTGTTAGATTTAGCCTATTTATTGTTCCAGTCAGGTGAGATCTTTTTGGATCCTGTTAAAGTCATTCAGTGTGTTATCCACCATTCCTAGATTTGTATCTTCCACAAATTTAATAAATGTGCCACCTATGTTTTCATGTGAGTCTGACAAAGATACTAAATAGGAGAGAACCAAAGGACTATGTGATCCTGGACAAGTTATTTAACCTCTGTTTGCCTAAGTTTCCTCAACTATATAATGGGAATAATAATAACACATATTTTGCTAGATGTGAGGGACAAATGAGAGAATATTTGTAAAAAGTGCTTAGCACAATGCCTGGCACCTAGTAGGTGTTTAGTAAATGCTTATTTTATCTATTCATCTATTTTCCCTTGATTCTTCCCCATGTCTACCAAATAAGAAAATGATAAGTAATGCAAAAAAAAATTAAAATAGAATCTGAGTAAGAAGGAATTAAAATTAAGCTGCAAATAATTTTGCCACCTATTTCTCAAAACTACCTAATCCAATACCTTTAGTGTTGGTCATGGCAGGCAGGGTGTTAGTATACTTAGCATAGGGTATTCTGGGTTTCTTGGCATAGGCATGAGAAGAATGTAGAAACCCTGCTCCCTTTGCTATTATTGTTGAGGTCTAAACTGTATCAGAGAAATCTTGGGTCCAGAAAACACTGCTTCTCAAGAACTAGAGCTTCAGGGTGCTTAGATCAGATTGCTTTCCATCTCTCAATGTTTCTTCTCCTGTTTTGGTTTTCTCTGGAAATTTTTTTCTTGTGAAAGTCCCTCACCCTTTGAAATTTCTGATGATGTCTTAATACATGGAATCATTGGATAATAGATGCAGAGCTGGAAGGGGGCCTTGGAAGTCATCTAGTTCAATGCCCTCAATTTTCAGATTAGGAAACTGAGGCCCAGAGAGATGAATTGACTTACTCAAAATGCCACAATTAGAAAGTGGCAGGCTTAGTATTCAAACCCATGCCCTCTGTCCACACCATTTTCTGATCTAAATTAAGTAGAAACAAACATAAAAAATATTTGACCTAGTCAGTAGTAACAACCGTTCCAAATGCTCCTTTCAGTCTCCTCAGGAAATCTTAAAGAATTTGATTTTTGCTCTGTACTAATAGAGGTAAGTTGCACTTAGATCCTGACATAAATGACTGGTATATATTAAAAAAGCAAAGCCTGTGGGCATATGAAAAGACAGGTAATGTCAGAAAAAACATAGGAAAAATTAAACTCTTTCATGTTCAAGTTAAAAAAAAAAAGATCACACTTTTTATAGCAATGAATTCTAATAAACCCTAACATAAGAATCATCACAATACAGATTGTATAGTTTGTGATAAGGAATTCAACATCCAAAAAAAATAAAATCAGAGACATGACCTTGAATATCGTAAAGCAAAGATACAGTTATAAACTTCTACAGTCATTTGGAATGTCAACATTATGCTCCAAATCCTTTACAATGGGCATTAATTTATGGTGTCCATGTATTATGTATGGTCTCTTAGAAGGTGGGCACAAGAGATAGTAGCCTGGATTTAGAATTAGCAAACCTGGATTGAAATCTCAGATCTACTGCATAATTTTTGGGTGGCCTTTGGCAAGTCATTTAAACTCCTGCAATCTCATTTTTTCCTCATCTGAAAAATTAGAGAACTGGACTATATGATCTTTAATGTTTCTTCTAACTCTAAACCCTTCATTTCCATGACAGCACAAGGAGATCCCACTGAAGTAAAAAAGTGTAAATGCAACACAAAAAAACTCTAGTGTAGCATTAACTTGAACTATCCAAAGTTAGTATCCTTGCTATAGCAAACATTAATTAAATATTTAATCAATAATAATAGTTTTTCATAGCTTCATGAATTTTAGAGTTGAAAGATGAATTAGAGTTCATTTACTTTAATTATCCATGAATTTTCAAGTGAATCAATTGAAGTTCAGACTTTACTTGCTTTCTTAGAATTTATAAAGAATGGATAGTCCGTGACTTAAAAATGTTGACTAGGAAAGACTGAACTAATGCCTTCTTTGTTTACTTACATTTCTCTGTAGAAAGCAGAATAAGTAAAAATCATACCATTGAGCATTTAACATTCTTTTAAGACATCACTAAGGACTTAACAGAAGCAGCAGAGATTAAGAAGAGGTGGCAAGAATACACAGAAGAACTATTTAAGAAAGATCTTAATATTACCACTAGCCATGATGGTGTGGTTACTGATCTAGAACCAGCCATCCTGCAGAATGAAGTCATGGGCCTTAGGAAGCACTGCTAACAATAAGGCTAGTGGAAGTGATGGAATTCCAGCTGAGCTATTTAAAATCCTAAAAGATGATGCTGTTAAAGTGTTGCACTCATTTTGCCAGCAAATTTGGAAAACTCAACAGTGGCCACTGGATTGTAAAAGATGTTTACATTCGCATCCTGAAGAAGTGCAATACCAAGGAATGTTCAAATTACTGAACACTTGACTGATTTCACACGCCAGTGAGGTTATGCTTAAGATTCTTCAAGCTAGGCTTCAGCAGTATATAAACTGAGAATTACTAGAAGGGCAGGCTGGTTTTAGATGAGACAGAGGAATTAGAGACCAAATTGCCAGCGTTCTCTGGGTTATGGAAAAAGCAAGGGAGTTCCAGAAAAACTTCTCCTCAGCTTCATTGACTACACTTAAGCCTTTGACTGTGTGGATCACAACAAAATGTGGCAAATTCTCAAAGAGATGGGAGTACCAGATCATATCACTTGTCTCCTGAGGAACCTGTATTAGGACCAAGAAGCTATAGTTGAAACTGAATGTGGAATAATGATTAGTTTAAGATTAAAAAAGAAGTATGACAAGGCTGTATATTGTCACCTTTTTATAGTTATATGCAGAGTACATCATGAGAAATACCAGGCTGAATGAATCAAAAGCCAGAATTAGGTTTCTGGGAGAAATATTAACAATCTCTGTTATGTAGATGATACCTCTCTGATGACAGAGAGTGAAGAGGAATTAAGAAGACTCTTGATTTCACTCTTGAGAGTGAAAGAGGAGAATGTAAAAGCTGGTTTGAAGCTTAACATAAAAAGAAAGAAAAAAACAAAACCTTGGCAATGAGCCCCACTACTTCCAGACAAATAGAAAAAATGGAAACAGTGGCAGATTTTATATTCTTGGGCTCAGAAATCACACAGACAGTTACCACAGTCATGAAATTTAAAGATGCTTTCTTCTTGGAAGGTAAGCTATGGCAAATTTAGATAACATACTAAAAAGCAGAGACATCACTGTGCTGATAAAGGTACACATAATCAAAGCTATGGTTTTTCCAGTAGCAACGTATGACTGTGAGAGTTGGATAATAAGGAAAGTTGAGCACCACAGAATCGATGCTTTTGAGTTGTGGTGCTGAAGAAGACTTTTGAGAGTCCCTTGGACAGAAAGGAGATCAAATCAGTCAATACTGAAGGAAATTAATTCAGGCTATTAACTGGAAGGTCAAATACTGAAGTTGAAGCTTAAATACTCTGGCCACATAATGAGATGACGGGATTCATTGGAAAAGACCCTGATGTTGAGGACAAATGAAAGCAAAAGTGAAAGGGGATGGCAGAAGATGAGATGGTTAGATAGTGTCATGAAGAGTTAGTGTAGGATAGAAGGGCCTGGCATGCTATGGTCTATGGAGTCACAAAGAGCTGGACATGACTGAACAACAGCAAGGACTTTACTCATGAAGATTTAGAAATCAGAAGTTTTCTTTCTTCTTCCTTTGCTTTCTCCTCTCCTGCCACCACCCCATTCAAGAAGAATTTTGAAGGGGAAAAGAAGTCACAGAAAGTTAATTTGAGATGGAGAATGCAGCAATCAATATAAGTAAGAAGAGAGAAAGAGAAGAGACAGACAGACAGAGACAGAGAAAGACAGAGAGACAGAGACAGGGACAGAGAGACAGACAGAAAGAAAAACAGAGAGAGAGAGAAACCTAGCTTTAGATCCCTTGTTATTGGTTTTGACCTTGTACCTGTTGTTGTAAATATTAGTTGTTATTGCTACAGAGTAATTTTCTACTTTAATAATTTTAATATTGGAGGGATACTTTTTTGCTTTCACTTGAGTTATTGACTATGAATTTTCAGCAACAAAACAAAACTCAGTGAGGGAGGGATTCTTTCTATAAGCAGATGGCTCTTGGTGTATCAAGGTTTTGCCATTTGTTTTAATGCTTAAAATAAACATTATTTATAAGAGCACTTACATTTTGATGTTACTTAATGAGGAATATGCATCATTGATTTGACTAGCTTAAGAGGTCATTTAGAACTTGCCCGTTAACAAGCTGTAATCTGCTGAGCACACAATGACTTTGTTTAAAATTATCTATTCAGTGCTGATCAATGATAATAATTGTTTTGTACCAATCACTTTTGAAAGTTGCTAATTACTTTGAAGGGCATGCACACCAGTCATTTTTTGAAAGTACTAACTCATTCACCTTGGAATCAAAAAGAAATATCATTGTTAAAATTTGCACTGCCTTGCAAAAGTAAAATTTACATTCAAGTGTTGTGTCAACACTTGAATATCAATGCTACAAGAACATATATTAAAAGTCCAAAAAGCCACACATTACTAAAAGAAGTAGTACAGGTAGTTCAATAGACGTGTTATCATAAAGGAGCTCCTTATTACAAGACAGCATCGGGTTAGATCTTGTTAGGTAAATCAGGTCTTCTGAAACACAACAAATAATAGTGTTGATTGCCTCCGTGAATGACTCCTCAAGAAAAGATGCTACCTTATTGTTGTCTTTATTTCCTTAAAACATATAAATATTGTGAAACAACTATCATCATAAAAATTCACAAAAGTCTAGAATACTTCTACATCTAGCTTTTTGGGCCTTGCACAGTTAAAGATAAGGCCAAGTTTTGAAGTTTTCAGTTTTTCTTCTGTTACTTTTGACTCCTTTTTCTGCACTTTTACTGCCCATATTATCTATTTTGACTTTAAGTTCATATGCCCCTCCCCGCCCCCCCAGTCTCTTCACCCGTCCCACATAACAAAACGAAGACCCTGTTATGCCTTTTGTCACTTGATGATTGCCTGATTGTACTTTGATGTGGGTCAGTTTCAACAGGTTGTTCCTCCCATATGTCTCCCATGTTGGTCTATTAAGGGGCTACACCTGGTTTATTGCAGAAGCACCTTTATAGAATTCTCTATTAAAATTTATTTTTATTTTTAATAGATTTTATTGATATATTTGGTTTTTGCTTTGTCTAGATTTTCTCTGGTGTCTCTCCACTTCCTCCTCTGAGAGAAACATTTCTTATAACAAAATTAAAAAAAAAAAACAAAGAGAAAAAAATTAGCAAAATCAACCAATACATTGAAAAAAGTATGACATTATATGCAATGTTCCACACTGATGGATCTGCCACTTCTATAAAGGAGTGAGAAGGGGGTGTCTTCTCATATTTCTTCTTTGGAACCAAGCTTGTTCTCAAAATGGAGAGAGAAGAAGACAGGGTCAAGCTAATATAGAATCAAGCTAAACTGAAAAGGAATGAAATTCCAAGAGAAGTAGAATGTTTTTGGAAGCCTTTGCAGATCACACTCTGAATGAAAGGAATTAGGTAACGGGCTAGAAACTACCTAATCTTAGGGCAGAGAAATCACCAAGTATGGAGAAGCTTACAGATCAAATTGGTCCCAAGGTTGTTATTAGGAGTTTGCTCTAAGAACAAGCTTGGCTCTTTCTTTGATATCTTTGGGGTATAGGCCTAATAGTGGTATTGTTGGGTCAAAAGGTATGCACAGTTTAGTATCTGGGGGCATAGTTGCTTTCCAGAATGACTGTAGCAATTCACAGCTTGACCCTGTACATTTTCCTTTTTTTGTAAAACTTTGCCAATATGATGAATATAAAGTAGAACCTTTTAATTGGTTTAATTTATGTTTCTCTAATTATTACTTATTTGGAGAACTGTTTCATATGGCTATTGATAGTTTGGATTTCTTTGTTTGAAAACCATTCATATCCTTCAACCACTTATCAATTGAGGAATGACTCATTCTTATAAATCTTAATCAGTTCCCTATGTATCCTGGAAACAAGGCTTTTTAAAAAACTTGCTACAAAGATTTCTGCCCCTCCTCCAACGTCCTCCTATAAACTAATTTCACCTTCTAATCTTTGCTGCATTAGTTTTGTTATTGGGGCAGCTAGGTACTGCAGTGGGTGGAGAGCCTGGCCTGGAGTCAGGAAAACCTGAATTGAAATCTGACCTCAGATACTTACTATCAGTGAGATTGGGCAAGTCTCTTAACCCCTGTTAGCCTCAGTTTCTTCATTTCAAAATGGGGATAATAATAGTACTTACATCTCTGGATTATTGTGAAGATCAAATGATATAATAATTGCAAAGTGTTTAGCCAAGTGCCCAGCATGTAGTGTTATATAAATGTTAGTTTTCCTCTTCCTCCTCCTTACTTTTAATGATTAATTTAGGAATTTAGAATACTATGAAACTGTTATTAGAAAAATATTTTGAATGCATGATAGTATTCAATAATTGCTTTTTGTCCACCTAATGTTTTTTAATAAATCTACAACTTAAAACTTTGGTCAAACTAATGTACTACTTTATAATTGAAAAGTCATGATTATATTGGATATTATTTTGATTCAACATAAGAAATATTTGAGCACTATTATTTTTCCTACAATATTAAATGTAATAAAATATATGTTTTTATGTAAACAGATTCAGAAGTGCTGGCGATCATACAAAATCCAGAAGTACTGCTTTAATTACTATTACTTGAAGGAATATCTGAGAGCTATTTCTGACACCAATCAAGCAATCAGGTGATGAAAACAAAAGTAAAGTAGTGAAACTTTATCTAAAAACAAATGATAATAGTAATTTCAATTTAGGGGCAACTAGGTGGTACGGTGGATAGAGTATAGAGTCTGGAGTCAGGAAGACCTGAGTTCAAATTTGGCCTCAGACATTTACTGGCTCTGTGACTCTGGGCAAGTCATTTAACCCTGTTTGCCTCAGTTCCTCATCTGCAAAATGAGCTGGAGAAGGAAATGGCAAACCACTCTAGTATGTTTGCCAAGAAAACCCCAGATGAGGTCATTAAGAGTTGGATATGACTGAAACAACTTAACAACAAAAATTTCACTTTGTCTGGCTTGTTTCCTACCTATTACCTATATAGAAATTTCAAAAATACTAAATGTGATCTATTTTGCTCTTGAATAATTGCTCAATGAAATTTTAAGAATGTTTTAAGTAAGTTTGGTTGGATTATGTCATCAACCTCAAGATAAAATAACATCATTAACATATAATCTGATGCTAGCTTATAAAATGTATTGTTTTAAAAAGAATTTGGTTGATAGGCATGAGATGTGTTTTTTAAATTAATAATTAAAAATCATTCTAGTTTTTGTACTGTTGCATTGAATACGTGTGTGTTTGTTGGGGGGGATGTATGCTTCATTTTATAGGGGGGGTGTGCGTGTGTGTGTGTGTGTGTGTGTTTATAAACTTGGACCTATGATTGAGGAAAATTCCTCTACCAATTTAGACGAGCAACTGTTCTACAATCTATAGTCTTAGAGAGTTGCCTAGGGCAGCGACAATTTATGTGACTTACCCAAGGTCATGTAGCCTGTATGGGATAGTCATAAGGCTTTAACTCAGGGCTTCCTATACATTTATATACACACTTATGCATATAGTGAGTGCTATACAAATGCTTATTTCCTTCCCCTGTACACATGTAACACTAGATGTTCTTGGAAGCATAAGGAGTCTAGTTACTCCTAACCTCCTACCTCCTGCAGATAAAAAGAGGAGGAGGAGGGGAGCCTGCTTTCTTGGACCAGCCCTCAGCAGTACCATGGCTTCAATTGGGTCATCCTTCCATGGAAAATCTAAATAGGTCCTGAATTCAAATTTTAAATTTCTACTTGGGAGAGTTATATGATCACTCGTAAAACTAAACTGACTCGATAACCCTCAAAGAGGACTTTAAATGTGCCGTAACAGAACAGCAGAATCCTAGTGTGAATCATCTGGAAAATGAAACCCTTATGCACGCTCTGATCTCAAGTAATGGCATACCTACAGATAAAGGGAACAAACTGCTTTTTAAAAAGATAATTGAGCTTATGAACCATCAGCAGAAGTGTGTGATAGCAAAAATGACTTTTTTTTAAGGGCTCAAACTAAAAGTTGAGATGGGGGAGGGGAGAAGAAAGGAAACATTCGTCAACTATTGGGCTTCATGGCCAAGGAAGGAGTGGAAGTGGAGAATGAATAAATTCACCAAGTCCTAGTAGCATGGTAAAGAAGTGTTGTTATTCAGTCATGTCCAACTTTTCATAACCCCATTTGGGGTTTTCTCAGCAAAGATACTGGAGTGGTTTTTCATTTCCTTCTCCAACACATTTTATAGATGAGGAACCTGAGGCAACTAGGCCTAAGTGACTTGTCCAAGGTCACAAAGCTAGTAAGTGTCTGCGACTGGATTTGAACTTAGGTCCTCCTGAAAATAGGCCCAGCACTCTAGCTACTGTACCACCTAGCTGTTCCAAGTAAGAGAAGGACATTGAGACAAATAGCATGTTCTTCCTATACATATTATGCCTTGAACAGATCAGTGACCAGAAAAGACTCCATTGCTTGTGATTCTATTTGATCTTCTGAGGGTAGCAGTGCCCTTATGTGGGATCAGCCCTTCCTCCTTCTCACCTAGATCTGCCATCCCAGTCTTCCCCATGCTGTGTGACTCTTGCCTCTCCTGGTGTTTGAGAGTCTTCTTTCCCTTCCTGACAGCTCCCTGACAATATAAGGTACGCATATTTTACCTGGATCTGTGATTTCCCAGATATGGAGAACTACCTTCATTCATGCATGTTGGCAACTCCTCTTTAACTTACAATCATAGAGAGTCTGTCTGGGACATTGAGGAGTTAAATGAGTTGTCTATAGTCACACAGCTACTGACTGTTAGAGGCAGGAATTAAATGTAGGCCTGCCTGACTCCAATCCTGACCCTCTAACTTCTAGATCATGCTGAATTACACACATATATGAACATGCATACATACATGCATGCATACGTTCATACTACATGCATAAACATATATAGATTGTGTAGCTGGAATTTTACAAAAGCCTGGGCTACTTTGTGTGCTGATGCATTTGTGGAGGGAAAGCTAACTCCTGATTGGTGCAGAGTATGCTGACACAATGCTACATTGTGCCTACAGGAAGGATGAAGTTAGGTTAGAGCATTATGGGAGAGAGACAGGGTGGTTTGAGATACTCTTGGGGAAGAAAAGACTTTGGAAGCTACAGACATGTTAGGGAAGCTAGCTTCTTAACATATCGCTATTTCCTATTTGTCTCCCTATTAACTTTGGATAGTTTCTCCTGGGGTGAAATTTTTGGGGCCCCCCTTTCGGGCCCCTCTAGCAGAGATTTTTTCTTGGCCACATCTAAAGATTACTTTTACTCATGCTTATTATTTACCTCCTGATATATTCTAATTTGTATACTTTCTCTGATTTCTCTTTCCATGGATAAATGAGTTTACTCCTTATTTGTTATAGTCATTTCTGTAACTAGCATTTAGTAGGAAGGAATTGAGAAGGTAAGTGTAAGCTAAAGGCTAGCAACCACGTAACTGGCTTTTTTCAGAACCAGACTTGTACCCCTAAACTAGCAATATTTAGAGGAGATAGATATAATTCTAGTGTGATACCCCTCTTATGGATAGACTGGGAGATCTTCTCCTGCTATCTTCAAGTCTTCTTTGGAGAGGGGTGGGCCAGATTCCCAAGATATCTCTCCATGTCATTTGTGAAGCACATTTAGACAATCCATGTGGAAATACACATCTTATACACATACAATCTTACATGTACATATAAACATAATACACGCACACACACATATATGTGTATATATATATATATATATATACATATGAATCTTATTAAAACACTGTTGAGTATAAGTGGAATTCAGTCCATGACAGGTTCATCTTGTACCACATATGTAGAATTTAGTAACTAAGGTATGAAAAGGCCTCATTTTAGTTATGGGGGCTAGCAATAAGTCTCTTCTTTTTTGGTCCAGTGAATTTTTAAGACAACTAACTCATTTAACCTCTAGCTGGTGTTTATTTATATGGCTATGGGGGGAAAGGGAAGGGAACAAACATTTATTAATGCTAGATACCCTCTATGTGTCAAGCACTGTATTAAGCACTTTACAAATATTATCTCATTAGAGATATGGATTCAAACTTGTCTATAAATGACTTGTAGTTCAATATAAGGAAAGTTCAGAATACTTTGTTTAGGTATCAACACAATCATCATGTCTATCTTACAAAATCCCTAGGAGAGCCAATTTTATTCCCCACAGATAGCTGATACTGAACACATTTTACTTTGTTGTAATTTTTTTTTAAAGTGAGTCTCACTTAGATCACTAGTTTTAATATTATTAGGATTTGGAGATTTCAGTGGCCTACAAGATTAATACAAATTACCAAGGTAACATGACTGCCAAAAAAACAGGACTGCATTTTTAGGCTACAATAAGGGAGCTGAGAGTTCCACTGTATTCTGTCCTGGTTGGAGCTCAACTGGAAAGTTGTGTTCAGCTCTGAGTATCACATTTTCATAAGGACACTGATAACTTGGAAGCCCTCTTGTATGCACCCTTAGGAAGGTGAAGAGCCTGAGATCCTTCCATACAAGTATCATTTAAAGGAACTAGTTGGTTAGCTTGCAAAAGAACAGGTTTAGGGGAGGATATTGTAATTGCCGTTACACATTTGAGAAAAGGGATTAGATTTGTTCTATATAGCCCAAGAAAACAGAATAAGGAGTAATGGATGAAAGTTGCTGAATGACAAATCTGAATTTGATATAAGAAAATTTTCCCCTAACAATTAGAACTATTAAAAGGTGGAATTGTCTGGCTTTGGAGGTATTGAATTTCTCCTCACTCTGTCTTCAGGCAAAAACTGAATGACTGACTCTTCAGCTCAGGATTACTATAGATGGTCTTTGAGGTCCCTTCATTTCTAAGATTCTATGTCTCTGTGACTTTGTGGTTTAATTACTGAACTCTCAAAGGGACCTCATTATAGTACACTTACCTATGGACCAAAGAACACCTATACCTAGGACAGTCTTACAGTGAAGAGGCTCCTTTGTATTTTGCCAACTATTTTGTAGCTGCCAAAAAGAGAACATCTTGGTTGCTATCAACTTGATATGCTAGTACTTTTAATTTGTATTTACTGAAAATTCAGTTTAATTATACAAATTAGGTGATTAGAATTATTCACTTAGCTAAGAAACTGTATTTCCCCCTTCTAATTCATGAGTTCAAATTACATGAACATATAGATAACTTTTCATGTCTGTTTTCATTATCTTCATCAGTTTTATCTTGTTCAGTATCAAACACTGGCTTCAAGGCACCATGTTAGGGTGTTATATTTTCAGTTTTTTTCTTCTTATTCGTTCAAGATTGTTATTTTATGGCCTGTTTGTATTCTAATGGTGCTCCTAACTGAGGTTAGAGTATAACCCATGTCTCTATCCTAGGCTTTCTTCTCTTCCCTGCGTACATTCTCTCTCTTGGTGACCATATAAGCTCCCATGGATTAAATTAATATTGCTATGCAGAAGAATTCTAGATCTATATTCAGTCCTCATCTCTCTCTTGAGTTTTAGGTCCACCAACTGCCTATTAAAACTAGAAGTCACTAAAGTATCTAAAAATCAATATGTCCCAAACAGAACTCATTATCTTTTCTCTCAAACCT